GGAGCACTGCGACTTTAAGAAAATGCATATTTGATGGTTCTGATGAATGCAAACCTCAGAAAACGTAAAGTTACCTTCTGCACGTTCTCTTTTATAGAGGTGTAACAGCATGTTCTGTGCATGCATGGGGATGCGGCGCACCTTTCCAAATCAGATTAATTAACCAGATGTTTAATTTTCTACATCAACTGCACTTTTTTCAATTTTACTTTTCTCAAGCGTTTGAACTTTTGCATTAATCTCCCGCACGATCTCCGCATGTCCTAATATAGATATGGCCCAGCTTTTAGGTGTTGTCTGTTAAGGAGAAATTACTTTGTGTCCTTTGTTCAAATTAAGTTTGTTATTGTTATCGAATACATGCCACAGAGACAATTGAAATAGTTCTTGTCCCGACAAAAGGTAAGAGGGTATGGTGAAGGCCAGTCTAATGGTAATTGATAAAGGGGGTTGAACTACATGTATGTGTAAAACGAAAACATTTAGCCGACAGCAAAATCACCACATGCATCGCTTGCGGGATATTAATAGGCTTCCTTGGAGCTCTGCGGTGTGCTTGGTGTGTAGCTAAAACCACTGTGACATCACCACAAGCGTTACAAAGCAGTTTATGCAATAATATCATTATGATATAATTTTTTCTACCATTTCCGCGATCGCGAGGTATATATATAAGTTCGTAAAAAACTGGCAGCCATCAGTTTTTTCCTTTCGCTTACCAAAGAAGGACATTACGATACAATATGCAGTTCTCTAACTTCGCCGCACTTCTTGGCCTTGGTGAGTATTATCATTCTGTTGTCATGCTATATCAGTTTAAATGGTATTAGCTGTCCGAAATTAAAACGCTGGAAAGTAACATGTCCCATGCAATCTTTAAAATGGAGTTGTTTGTGTGTGATATGACAGTATTGTAACTTCCAAATCCTATATTCCAACAGCGTAAAAGTGTTAATTTCACAGGAAAGTGTGTTGCTTCAAGTTTCAAGCAACATCCTCCTCAACATCTACTATATAAAGTGTAATGCTTTATACATGGGCGTGTCTTTGTTTATTTTCCAGCTCTGGCAGCCGTTTTGGGTTTGGCTAGTGCTCACGGTCATGGTGGCCACGGACATGGTGGTCATGGACATGGTGGTCACGGACATGGAGGTCATGGACATGGACATGGTGGTCACGGTCATGGAGGACATGGTCATATTCACGGAGGTCATGGTCACGGAGGTCATGGCCACGGAGGACACGGTCACCACGGATGAAGCTGCCGAGACGTTGGGGATTGATATCCTAAGTACACAGTCACATGAGAATCTGGATGCTGGGAATCCACTGTGTAGTCGATAACCTATTGTATTGATTGTGATTTGTGTATCATCATTGCCTCAAAGAATTAAAACATCGATCTGACAATTATGCTACTGTTTGTATTATTCATTCTCTTCTATATGGATGCTAGAATGACTACAGAACTAAAGCAATTGTGCAAATAAAATAATACTTAGTGCATGTACATAACAGCCCAAGTGACAGACGTAGGTTTAAGTCTGACAGCAAGAGAGTATGGTCTGAGATATGATAAGACGACACATCCTTGTTTCGTGCATGCTATAAAATCCACTCCCCGAAACACCATGGCTCATGTCATCCAAAATGCCGTAGTGTTTAACTGCAGCTATAAAGCAACTTAGGATAGAGGTAGTAATCAGTCCAATTCTGCACAACGCCTGCTCTATGGCATGTCCCAACTACTTTCAACTGGTACGTGCGTCGGGTCTCTCAAATGTGCCACTGAGTCATATATATCTTGTATCAACCCACATACTTAGCAAGGATTCGTCGTCATTTGATGGTATTAACCTAATATGCACACCATTGTCGATATGCATTGAATTTATCATATGGACGCGGGAGGCGCTATCAAGATAGCAAATGTGTCAGTAGGCTTGTTTGTCTGTTAGTGTTTGTGAGAGAGAGAGAGAGAGAGAGAGAGAGAGAGAGAGAGAGAGAGAGAGAGAGAGAGAGAGAGAGAGAGAGAGAGAGAGAGAGAGAGAGAGTCCATGATAAACCAGTGTGCATATGAATCATTCCTCATACCAATTTGGTAAGAGGTAAATGTATTGGCGGCCAGAGCATTCTCACTTTAGCCCAGTGATCCCCGTACACAATAAAAGAGAAGATAATGTGTAATCAGATTTAACACTTTGGAGTGTATTTTTATTCAGAGGTCTGGTCAAACAATATACAAGATCATCATGTTTTACATGAGTTGTGGTTTCCCCGTTGTCCAGCAGCAGTGGAATAAAAAACAAGGGCTTTCTCGTGACACATCTTTCTGAAATGAAGAATAGGCCAAAGTTATCAGGCATGTCATTTCTACTGAAATTTGCAGAGGACATTGCCTCCGAGATATATACTTTATGTTTACAGAAACGAGGTATTCCCGAGGAAAGAGTTCATCCGTCAGGCGTTAATTGTTCTTTGGAAAACACAGTTAAGAACGTTTGCAACACAACCATTGTGAGATCTAACCGTCTACCTACCAGCTGCTATGTTTATCCATGGTGCCCCTTTCCTCCATGGCCGCCTCCATGTCCTTTGCCCCCGTGTCCGCCACCATGGCCTCCGTGTCCCTTGCCCCCATGGCCACCACCATGACCTTTGCCGCCATGACCCTTTCCACCTCCATGACCACCTCCATGACCATGACCATGACCACCACCATGACCCTTGGCCATGCTGGTTCCGAACACTGCAGCAAGAACTGTCAGAAAGAGAAAACACAATACATTATTTGCGACGCTGATAATGTGTACTGTTCAGGCTAGTTAAAAGCAATTATTAAGACGTAAACACAGTCACATCGCGTTAATAAAATGTTGACAGTTGGAGTAGATGGCATATCATATTTAGGTTTCCTATATAGATTGACAGTGACTGTCAAGTAACTTTTCTCACAAATGATCTGAACTTTCAGCCAGGCGATTATACAGCGTGACTAGTGTAGATTTACATTAAGGCACCAACGAGGTATGCTCACCTGCTACAAGGAGCACTGCGACTTTAAGAAAATGCATATTTGATGGTTCTGATGAATGCAAACCTCAGAAAACGTAAAGTTACCTTCTGCACGTTCTCTTTATAGAGGTGTAACAGCATGTTCTGTGCATGCATGGGGATGCGGCGCACCTTTCCAAATCAGATTAATTAACCAGATGTTTAATTTCTACATCAACTGCACTTTTTTCAATTTTACTTTTTCTCAAGCGTTTGAACTTTTGCATTAATCTCCCGCCACGATCTCCGCATGTCCTAATATAGATATGGCCCAGCTTTTAGGTGTTGTCTGTTAAGGAGAAATTACTTTGTGTCCTTTGTTCAAATTAAGTTTGTTATTGTTATCGAATACATGCCACAGAGACAATTGAAATAGTTCTTGTCCCGACAAAAGGTAAGAGGGTATGGTGAAGGCCAGTCGAATGGTAATTGATAAAGGGGGTTGAACTACATGTATGTGTAAACGAAAACATTTAGCCGACAGCAAATCACCACATGCATCGCTTGCGGGATATTAATAGGCTTCCTTGGAGCTCTGCGGTGTGCTTGGTGTGTAGCTAAAACCACTGTGACATCACCACAAGCGTTACAAAGCAGTTTATGCAATAATATCATTATGATATAATTTTTCTACCATTTCCGCGATCGCGAGGTATATAAGTTCGTAAAAACTGGCAGCCATCAGTTTTTTCCTTTCGCTTACCAAAGAAGGACATTACGATACAATATGCAGTTCTCTAACTTCGCCGCACTTCTTGGCCTTGGTGAGTATTATCATTCTGTTGTCATGCTATATCAGTTTAAATGGTATTAGCTGTCCGAAATAAAACGCTGGAATGTAACATGTCCCATGCAATCTTTAAAATGGAGTTGTTTGTGTGTGATATGACAGTATTGTAACTCCAAATCCTATATTCCAACAGCGTAAAAGTGTTAATTTCACAGGAAAGTATGTTGCTTCAAGTTTCAAGCAACATCCTCCTCAACATCTACTATATAAAGTGTAATGCTTTATACATGGGCGTGTCTTTGTTTATTTTCCAGCTCTGGCAGCCGTTTTTGGGTTTGGCTAGTGCTCACGGTCATGGTGGCCACGGACATGGTGGTCATGGACATGGTGGTCACGGACATGGAGGTCATGGACATGGACATGGTGGTCACGGTCATGGAGGACATGGTCATGGTCACGGAGGTCATGGTCACGGAGGTCATGGCCACGGAGGACACGGTCACCACGGATGAAGCTGCCGAGACGTTGGGGATTGATATCCTAAGTACACAGTCACATGAGAATCTGGATGCTGGGAATCCACTGTGTAGTCGATAACCTATTGTATTGATTGTGATTTGTGTATCATCATTGCCTCAAAGAATTAAAACATCGATCTGACAATTATGCTACTGTTTGTATTATTCATTCTCTTCTATATGGATGCTAGAATGACTACAGAACTAAAGCAATTGTGCAAATAAAATAATACTTAGTGCATGTACATAACAGCCCAAGTGACAGACGTAGGTTTAAGTCTGACAGCAAGAGAGTATGGTCTGAGATATGATAAGACGACACATCCTTGTTTCGTGCATGCTATAAAATCCACTCCCCGAAACACCATGGCTCATGTCATCCAAAATGCCGTAGTGTTTAACTGCAGCTATAAAGCAACTTAGGATAGAGGTAGTAATCAGTCCAATTCTGCACAACGCCTGCTCTATGGCATGTCCCAACTACTTTCAACTGGTACGTGCGTCGGGTCTCTCAAATGTGCCACTGAGTCATATATATCTTGTATCAACCCACATACTTAGCAAGGATTCGTCGTCATTTGATGGTATTAACCTAATATGCACACCATTGTCGATATGCATTGAATTTATCATATGGACGCGGGAGGCGCTATCAAGATAGCAAATGTGTCAGTAGGCTTGTTTGTCTGTTAGTGTTTGTGAGAGAGAGAGAGAGAGAGAGAGAGAGAGAGAGAGAGAGAGAGAGAGAGAGAGAGAGAGAGAGAGAGAGAGTCCATGATAAACCAGTGTGCATATGAATCATTCCTCATACCAATTTAGTAAGAGGTAAATGTATTGGCGGCCAGAGCATTCTCACTTTAGCCCAGTGATCCCCGTACACAATAAAAGAGAAGATAATGTGTAATCAGATTTAACACTTTGGAGTGTATTTTTATTCAGAGGTCTGGTCAAACAAAATACAAGATCATCATGTTTTACATGAGTTGTGGTTTCCCCGTTGTCCAGCAGCAGTGGAATAAAAAACAAGGGCTTTCTCGTGACACATCTTTCTGAAATGAAGAATAGGCCAAAGTTATCAGGCATGTCATTTCTACTGAAATTTGCAGAGGACATTGCCTCCGAGATATATACTTTATGTTTACAGAAACGAGTATTCCCGAGGAAAGAGTTCATCCCGTCAGGCGTTAATTGTTCTTTGGAAAACACAGTTAAGAACGTTTGCAACACAACCATTGTGAGATCTAACCGTCTACCTACCAGCTGCTATGTTTATCCATGGTGCCCCTTTCCTCCATGGCCGCCTCCATGTCCTTTGCCCCCGTGTCCGCCACCATGGCCTCCGTGTCCCTTGCCCCCATGGCCACCACCATGACCTTTGCCGCCATGACCCTTTCCACCTCCATGACCACCTCCATGACCATGACCATGACCACCACCATGACCCTTGGCCATGCTGGTTCCGAACACTGCAGCAAGAACTGTCAGAAAGAGAAAACACAATACATTATTTGCGACGCTGATAATGTGTACTGTTCAGGCTAGTTAAAAGCAATTATTAAGACGTAAACACAGTCACATCGCGTTAATAAAATGTTGACAGTTGGAGTAGATGGCATATCATATTTAGGTTTCCTATATAGATTGACAGTGACTGTCAAGTAACTTTTCTCACAAATGATCTGAACTTTCAGCCAGGCGATTATACAGCGTGACTAGTGTAGATTTACATTAAGGCACCAACGAGGTATGCTCACCTGCTACAAGGAGCACTGCGACTTTAAGAAAATGCATATTTGATGGTTCTGATGAATGCAAACCTCAGAAAACGTAAAGTTACCTTCTGCACGTTCTCTTTTATAGAGGTGTAACAGCATGTCTGTGCATGCATGGGGATGCGGCGCACCTTTCCAAATCAGATTAATTAACCAGATGTTTAATTTCTACATCAACTGCACTTTTTTCAATTTTACTTTTTCTCAAGCGTTTGAACTTTTGCATTAATCTCCCGCCACGATCTCCGCATGTCCTAATATAGATATGGCCCAGCTTTTAGGTGTTGTCTGTTAAGGAGAAATTACTTTGTGTCCTTTGTTCAAATTAAGTTTGTTATTGTTATCGAATACATGCCACAGAGACAATTGAAATAGTTCTTGTCCCGACAAAAGGTAAGAGGGTATGGTGAAGGCCAGTCTAATGGTAATTGATAAAGGGGGTTGAACTACATGTATGTGTAAAACGAAAACATTTAGCCGACAGCAAATCACCACATGCATCGCTTGCGGGATATTAATAGGCTTCCTTGGAGCTCTGCGGTGTGCTTGGTGTGTAGCTAAAACCACTGTGACATCACCACAAGCGTTACAAAGCAGTTTATGCAATAATATCATTATGATATAATTTTTCTACCATTTCCGCGATCGCGAGGTATATAAGTTCGTAAAAAACTGGCAGCCATCAGTTTTTTCCTTTCGCTTACCAAAGAAGGACATTACGATACAATATGCAGTTCTCTAACTTCGCCGCACTTCTTGGCCTTGGTGAGTATTATCATTCTGTTGTCATGCTATATCAGTTTAAATGGTATTAGCTGTCCGAAATAAAACGCTGGAAAGTAACATGTCCCATGCAATCTTTAAAATGGAGTTGTTTGTGTGTGATATGACAGTATTGTAACTCCAAATCCTATATTCCAACAGCGTAAAAGTGTTAATTTCACAGGAAAGTGTGTTGCTTCAAGTTTCAAGCAACATCCTCCTCAACATCTACTATATAAAGTGTAATGCTTATACATGGGCGTGTCTTTGTTTATTTTCCAGCTCTGGCAGCCGTTTTGGGTTTGGCTAGTGCTCACGGTCATGGTGGCCACGGACATGGTGGTCATGGACATGGTGGTCACGGACATGGAGGTCATGGACATGGACATGGTGGTCACGGTCATGGAGGACATGGTCATATTCACGGAGGTCATGGTCACGGAGGTCATGGCCACGGAGGACACGGTCACCACGGATGAAGCTGCCGAGACGTTGGGGATTGATATCCTAAGTACACAGTCACATGAGAATCTGGATGCTGGGAATCCACTGTGTAGTCGATAACCTATTGTATTGATTGTGATTTGTGTATCATCATTGCCTCAAAGAATTAAAACATCGATCTGACAATTATGCTACTGTTTGTATTATTCATTCTCTTCTATATGGATGCTAGAATGACTACAGAACTAAAGCAATTGTGCAAATAAAATAATACTTAGTGCATGTACATAACAGCCCAAGTGACAGACGTAGGTTTAAGTCTGACAGCAAGAGAGTATGGTCTGAGATATGATAAGACGACACATCCTTGTTTCGTGCATGCTATAAAATCCACTCCCCGAAACACCATGGCTCATGTCATCCAAAATGCCGTAGTGTTTAACTGCAGCTATAAAGCAACTTAGGATAGAGGTAGTAATCAGTCCAATTCTGCACAACGCCTGCTCTATGGCATGTCCCAACTACTTTCAACTGGTACGTGCGTCGGGTCTCTCAAATGTGCCACTGAGTCATATATATCTTGTATCAACCCACATACTTAGCAAGGATTCGTCGTCATTTGATGGTATTAACCTAATATGCACACCATTGTCGATATGCATTGAATTTATCATATGGACGCGGGAGGCGCTATCAAGATAGCAAATGTGTCAGTAGGCTTGTTTGTCTGTTAGTGTTTGTGAGAGAGAGAGAGAGAGAGAGAGAGAGAGAGAGAGAGAGAGAGAGAGGAGAGAGAGAGAGAGGAGAGAGAGAGAGAGAGAGAGAGTCCATGATAAACCAGTGTG